TTTATTTTGTAGAAGTTTCTCACTAGTTTTAATGTTAATTTTTGCAGATAAGCATAAGAAAATTACTAATACTTATTAAAAATATTTTGAGCAAAAACTTAAATAATTTCAATTGGTCTTGCACTTATGCACGACTGCGCTTCATAGGCGTGTTTCATTTTCTAGCACAGTTGTGCTAGATGAGCGTGCAGGGCCGTGCTGAATAGATCTGCATTCGAAAGTTTAAATTCAAAATTTAAACTTTGCGGGAGTTTTGATCCATATTCAAATTTGAAATTTAAATAAAGATTTTGGTTGAGAATTTGATTGTGGATAAAATTGATTTGAAAAGATATAGCTCAATTAACCAGAAACTCAGGGCACATCCTATATACAGAGGCCTTATGCTCTACACTAGAGACAACTTTTCTACTTCATTCTGCACCAACTTCTCTACACACCTTCTTCTCCCTCTTAGTTTTGACTTATTTAACTATTGAAAGTTATTGGAGATCATTGCCAAAGACGACGAGCCTTCTTTCGAAATTTGAGCGAGTGATTGAGCACCCCTTAGAGAACAATAACTATTTTCATCTTTCTGTTTGGGTTTCTCTTATTTGAACCCTCTTTTGTATCTATAGATTTGTTCTTCATGTTTTTCATTGTTCGTTTTGTTATGAGTTGTTAAATTTATAGCTAGGGCTATGACGGATCCTATTGCATACTCTGTATGATTTTTACGATTAATAGTAATGTTGGTTTCCTTGTCTGTTTGGTTTTTATTTTATTGAATTGAATTGTTCATGTTAAGAACTGATCACCCTTAGCATCTTATAGTTAATTGCATCGTAGGCGATCATATCACATGTAATTAATGGAACTATACGATAAAACAGGACAAAGGATTAGACGGATTAAACTTAATCTTTCTTTTCCAACCATTATTAAATTAACAAACCCATAGGTTCTTTATGTTTTCTTTACCTTTTTCCTTGCATGATCATTGGGGGTAATCGCCTAGAGAAAAGAATATTAACATTACATGATCTTTGAGTGTTAATAGATTAAGTATGAGTAGTTGGTAAACACTACAGAAATTGACATTGAGATTAAACTAAAATAAATATAGAAAGATGTAATAGATGAAACCATATGCCCTAAGCTCTTCTCATTCAATTTCTGTCAAAAACCTCTTTTACATCTTTTAAATTACTTTTTGGATTTAGATTTTTTGTAATTTTTTATTCATTACGCAACCTTTCTATTTAAACAATTGAATTATGGTATTCTTGATAATTGGAAATAATCTATTGGGACAATAACTTAGGAGCTTGATTTTAAAAATCTTTTATTAGTTTTTTACGGGTACACTTGTTCACGAACAAGTTTTTGATTTGGCTTCTATGATGTCACTTTGTTCATGTTCTTTGCGATGGTGTTTCTATTTTTGGAAATATTAAGAGAATTAAATGTAAATATTGTGAAAGTGAATATACTATAAGTATTTATTGTTTTAACCATCATTTGGTAGAAATAAAGAAAAATGTTTAAGTTTGCATGACTGTCATTTATAATGTTTGAAAGTAAATGTGAGACATTAATATTGGATTGCGAGAAAAATTCATACAATATATATATATATATATATATATATATATATATATATATAGCAAGATCTTAAGGGAGAGGCAACAAAAAGTGTTGCTGGTAAATTTGAAAATATAGGGAAAAAAAAAAAAAGCCGTGATGAGACTCTAACAAACTTATTGCAAAAGAAGTTATCTTGATGTCTTATACAAAGTATATATTGGCAGCTTTCCAGTAAGTACTCTTCTTATACTTAGTAATTCTTTCTTCATTTCTTCCATCATTACTTCTAAATTACCAATATTTTTCATCATAACTTATTTACATTAAGAGTAGAATAATTATAGTAGTGTTTACGGTGAAAAATGACAGTTGTAAACAAATAATCCAAAGATCATTCTGGGGACTGGATTTAGGTCCTCTTTGGGTTCTTTTAAGTGTGTTGTTAACGTGATGCTCAAATTAACGGCGTAAAAGAGTATTAAGCAAGAATAGTGAATAATAAATGTGCAGAATTAAATCAAACGTAGACGCTTTTACAGAAATGTAGCAAGCAGGAACTAAACAACGTACAAAGACATAAGTAACAAGAACTAAGATTAAAATGCAGAAAGGTAAATGCAGGAATGTAAAGGTGCGTGAAGGTAAACGTACGACTCCTCACAACGGCGAACAGCGACCACCGTAGGTCTCCTTGTAGCTGGTATCTAGCGCGGTGCAGGGTTTCAGCGTCTTAGAGTGTTTAGGTACGGTGTCTAGGTGCAAAAAGTCGTCCTTTGTGAAATGGTGCTTTGGAGTATTTATAGACATGAAGATCATCACCGTTTTCCTCCTTTTGCGGGCACTTCTTAGTAACTGCCTTCAACTGTTGATGTTCACTATCCACGATTGCTTGTGATCGTGCTGTTCGTTGGGGCTTCTTTTGTAACCGCTATCGCCCATTATCTCCTTTGCGTAGTGGTGAATATTGATAACTATTGGTAACCACTTTTGAATTTTCCAAGACTCCTATTTTTCGAGTATTTCTGAGAGAAATCTAGGAGACTCCTTAAATGTTATGGCCGTAGAATAATTTCTTTTTTACTTCTCTTTTCGAGCCATTATTGAGTTTTGAGAACCTGTCTTAGTCTTGTGGACTTGAAACATTTTCTTTGCTCATTTCTATTTTTCGAGCAATTCTGGAGGGATTCTAGAGCTCGACCAGGTTTGTGGACTTAGAATATTTTCTGACCACGTCTTATTTTTCGAGCAATTCTGGAGGAAATCTGGAGCTCAGCTAGGTTTGTGGACTTAGAATATTTTCTGACCACTTCTTGTTTTTCAAGCAGTTTTGGATGTCGGGGACTTGAAAACTCCTCAAAAACTTCTCGAAAAGTCATCAGTTTTTGTGGACTTAGAATATCTTCTTGTCAGTCCTGTTTTTTGAGCAGTTTTAGATGTAAGTGACTTGGAAACCCCTCAAAACTCCTCGAAAAAGCCATCAGTTTTGTGGACTTAGAATATCTTTTTGTCAGTCTTATTTTTCGAGCATTTTTAGAGAAAAAATCAACAATGTGACAAAAACCTCTAAAATAGCTTGAAATGTATCTTTTTTGATATGAAACTAAAAAGTCTTGGACAACTTTCTGATACTTCTTAAGTTTGGACCTATTTTTAGGTTCCTTCCTGACCCTTAAAATTTTGTCGAAATGTAGCTTCCTTCAACATGATTTTTAACTTAGAAAATTTTCCTTATCCCAAACAAGTAGGTCCATTTATATTTCAATCATTACTACATCAACAACATAATATTGTAAAGCAAAGGGATTAAATAGTTCATTTTGCTCAAATGCATATTTCTAAATTCCTTTAGTAATATTGTAAATAATTTTGTATAGAATTTGAAAGTCATTACCATTTCACACAATTTAGGACTTAATTCATAAAAAAATTGATTGTTATACATTCAACCTTACAACTTATTATGGGGATGCTATTTTGATTGTTTCTCATTAATGTTGTTTCTTTGTGTTTAATCCATTCAAGAATTTTACAAAACTAAATGAATATAAAAACATTATAAATTTCACAAAGAAAACAAATAAAAACATAACAATTTTTTTTAAAGATATTACCTAGACGAAGATGATGTCTCAATGAGAGACATTTATTCATGTTCTTTTCTTAACATGTGAACTTGAATGTTTACATTTTCACATTGCCATCTTAATTTTAGTAGCATGGAACAAATAAATATAGAAACTTTTTTAAATCAATATTGATGTTTATAAAAGTAGCACAAAGGGGCTCTCAATGTTTTAAGTGATATGATAAGGTAGTGGAAACATCACTAGTTTTGCTACTTAGTAGGACACAAAATTGAAAACATGAAAGGACAAAAATATTCAAAGTAAATTAGTCCATCAATTTTTTGTAAAAATTAATTGACAGTTAAAATAAAAATTTATTTGAAGGATAAATTTGTCAAAAAAATATAAATAAAAAAAATTAATTCTATTTACATAATTTAATTTTTTAAAACTATATTTTTAGAGTTCAAATTTACTAAACATGTAAAATTAAAAAATATAAATAATTTTTTACCAAAATTTATATTATTTAAAACCCACTTAAATGTTAAAAAAAATTATTGTAAAATATTTATATTACCAATTCTCACTACTTTGGTCCATCACCTACAAATTAACCTACTTGAAATAATATCCACATGCTCATACTTCATAACACAAAAAATATATCAATATAGAATACTAATTACATTGAAATTTATTCTCAATCTTGTCACAAAAATACTCAGTCTTTGGAGCAAAATTTATTTATTTTCAATCTTACATTATTTTCATATTCTAAACATTTAACTAAATTCAAAATAACAACACTTTATATCTTAATTTTCACTACCTCAAATTTAATTATTGTGAAAATTTTATAAACTTCAACTTCAATTTTATATAGACTAATAGTCATTAAGAGCTCTAAATAAATAGACTTGTATTTAGAAATTAGTTCACTTTGTCTATATTTTTTGATAATTTTCTTAAAATTATGTAAAAAATTATAGAAGGTTATTTTTTTTTTATTGAATCATTGTATGTACATATTGATGAATAAGTTAATACCTTTATACAATGAAGTAGCTCTAATCTTTGCCAAAAAAAAAAAAAAACATTTCTGAATGAAGTGCATACCATTAAATGATCGATTGATTCTTTAAAATATGAAAAATGTTAAATAACATTCATTTTAACATATTATCTTTAATATATTAATTGATTATAATTCATTAAAAACCAAAAAAAAATTATTTAAATTTTATAATTTTTAATAAATTTTAACTAATAATAAAAAGTATATTAAAAAGTATAACTAATATTACTCTGAAAACATTTACAGGTCTCGCCAAGACTACACCCGAATGAAGTAAGTGGGGCAAGTCAACCCAAGCCAAGTAGTCTCTGTCCAACCAAATCACAACGTAGATGACCAAAACCAACCTTAGATTCGACAAGATCAAACTCCATCCAGATGTTCTGTTGTTGCTGATGACCGATGATAAATGCCTCCACACCTAGCAAATCCGAGTTCCCAAATGTGAAGCAATACACCGAGTCATTCCCCCTAACCAAACCGGGTACCCGATACAAAAGCTGTTCACCCGAAACCCGCATTTCAGCTCCTTCAAAAACCAAACTCACACTTGGTAACGAGGGTAAGTTCGTTTGGTTCATGGGTACCCGGTAACAAAGATCCATTGCTATTTGAAACACAAAATTCGGATCATCCAGTGCTCGTAAAGTACTATTCGTTTGGCTCGAAAACTCTTCTCTTAACACATTATAAACCGGACCAAGTAAAAACGTGAATTGGGTACCCAAATCAAACATGGTTTGACCCGCCCCGGTATGGTCTGGAACAAAAGCAGTACCCGATATGTTTAGTAACTTATCCGAAACCTTAATTCCCTCGAGCCGAACCGTATATGCGGACCTGTCGAAATAGGGTAAGGGAGTGGATATTTGAACCAAAGGAGTGTAGTTCAATGACCCGACCCAAGAAAAATTGGATCCTCCGAGAAGTAAAATTCCCGAGAAATCGGATCCCGATATGCAGTACGAGAATTTGGGGATTTTTAATTGGGAAACCAAGGAGAGGGACCCGAGATTCATGCCCATTAACCCGGTTATGTTGGAGTCCGAATCGGAGTTAGTACTATAAGATGAGTTCATGCACCCGAATACAATTCCCGGGTTATTGGAGGATCCGAACCCGAATGTGTCAGAAGCGAGGTTCCCTTCTGAGGAAGAAGAGTCAGCATATGAGAGAGTGGCGTGGCAGAGGTTGTTGGAGTCACAGGAAGCGGGTATGGGGAAGTCTCGGGTTCGGGTTGTGCATGTTGATGAGGAGCAGGAGATGGGTGAGTAGGATGAAGAGAGATTCGGGTTTAAAATCGGGTCGGGTAGGACCCGTGTGGTGGTTGTGTTGCAATGGAGCCAAGAGAGTTCACTTCCTGTGTCAATGACCATGGACACGTTTTGTGGGGGTGTGCCAACGGTGATGGAGACAGTGAGGCTCACGTTGTGGTGAAACCGAAGCTTGTTGGGTGGTCTTGGGAGGTACCCAGATGGGATCAATTGTGATTTGAGTGGTAAAGCTAGCATCTTGGCATCACAGTGGCAGAGTTTGGTTTGAGTGAAGGTGCCAAGTGATGTTTGTATAATGAGCAAAATGAGAAGTTTGAGACATGGGTCTGTGCAAATGGAGTGGCTGGTGTGTTTGGTTTGGGGTCTCATTGTGGGTTTTTGAATGTTGCAACTTGCTAGGGTGTGAAATAAAACGGTTTAAGGGGATGTTGAATTGCAGGGTTATGATGGGTTTGAGTGTTTTAGAAATGAGATTTGGAGTAATTATGGAGAAAGTGTTGTAAATTTTGGGGGCAAAGAAAAGCATAGGAATTCCTTGATGTTTTAGGCTTGTAAGTAAAACTCCCCTCCTCCTCTGGTTAAGAAAAAGATCTTAGAAAGAGTTGAGATGGGATCTACCAGCGAGGGAAGGTACAACAGACTGTTGTTGTACCAAGTACCATAGTGCCTATGATACCTAATTAACATACATTTGTTTTGTTTGGTAGGTGTGTATGTCAATATCAAGGTGTATCCATAACCGTGTGTATTTGAATTCATTCTTTGGATACATGTTTTTATTCTCTGTTGGATTCTTTTATATATATATGTGATTCGAGGTTGCTTTTTTCTCTTTCTTTAAAATAAGTAGTGATGCTAACATGGCTTAAATGGTATACGTGATAGAAAAGGAATACGGAATTCATGTAGTATGTGGGAGCAACATTGCTGCTTATGAACGTGTGAAAGGCTATGCAATAAGTTTATTTAGGTGGAAGAAATGATTAAACCAAAATAGCTAATACTTCCTTGTAGATGAGATCAAGTCTCAAGGTCCTATATAGGTTTAACATACAGCTTTAACCCCACACAATATGGTAGTTAAACTTTTAAATAATTGAGAATGGCTTCTTCTCTCTTTTGGACATGCAAAAAGCAAGGTTCTTTTGTCCCTGTTGTTGCTACTATAGAATGTTCCACCTCATCTAATCAAGCAGCCTAGCTCAAAAGGAATTTTTCCAATTTTTTGTTGTCTATAAAGCAAGTTAAGCAAGAAAGTTACTACGTGTCTTGCTTGTATATATATAAAAAAAAGAAAACTAAAGCTAAAACCTTTGTTAAAATTTGTTTACTATAATTTTGATTCCTATACTTTAACTTGTGTACATTTTTAATATTTTTTAATTTTAATCACTCACATTTAATTTTATTAATTAACAAAAATAATGAAAGTGTGATATATTATTGATTTGTAAAAGAAAAATATATAAATAAAAATAAAAAAAAATATAAAAATTAAAGTCATTTTTGTTCCTAATTATTTTTATTAGTTAATATTTGTTATACTTTTGTTAATTATTGGATAAAATTTTAGAGTAAAAGACTTAATTTAAATAATTAAAAAGATAGAGAGATTAAATGTAAATAATTAAAAGTAAGAGAACCAACATCACGTATCAATTAAAATATTGAGACTAAAAATGTAATTAAGTTATTGATAAATTAAAATATTAAAAAATGATTTGAAAGTAAAAAATGAGTCTGGGTCTTAATTTAAGAGTCCATTGGCTACACAAATGGCATCTGATGCAGAAACATTATAGTACTTACAGCATCACAATGCGTAGTGCTCGGTTTCAAAATTGTTAGGTTTACTTTGCAAAGGAATATGATGATGGCACCCTTGTGTCAAAGGCATCGTTTTGCAAAGGCTGCTTGCTTCATAGCAGCCTTTCTTGGTTGTTGCAGATGCCAAGAAATTATCTTAAGGCAAAGCACGTGATGCTTTACTTCATCGGGATTAAAAATTAATGGATCTGATCATTTGCTTCTTAAAATAAGTAAAACACTACCCCTGTAAGATATGCTTTAATCAATTCGAATACATACGTGTTGACTACTTCATTTTCAGTACTAGTTCAGTATATCTCACTTTCAACTCCATTAAATATCATTCTTATGTTCATGAAAGCTCAACTAATAAGACTATTGATGTTAGGGATGCTTATTAAAGAAGCATTCGTAATGGTCGTATTTTCTTTTTTAAAAGAATTCTTTTCTAAAAGAGTTGTTGTATACATAGTGAATATATGTTCGTATTCTTATAAGGTATTGAGATTCAAATTCAAGTGTTTTATTTTTAAATAGAAATTATGAATTTCTAAGTTTAAAATATTATTTATATTATTTTACTTAAGTATCCAATAATACTTCAGGTTCTTAGTTTTGGGTCATTAAATTTATGTTTCTAGCTTATTTATGAAGGTCTTACACTTATCTTATGTGTCTGTGTGGAGGGGACAAAAATTAAGTGAACTTAATAAAATAATACATTTAATAACTTTATCAAAGTGAATTTTACTAATCTAACAATTCATTTTAATGTTCATATAAAATAAATTAATTCTTCATAAATTAAATACTAATATTTATACACACGCGTATATATATATATATATATATATATATATATATATATATATATATGAATTTTATATAAAAAGTGAGAAAAAGAAACTTTATAATTAAAAGTGCTGTGTCTTTAATTAGTTTTTCCTTAAGGATTTAAAACACATAATTTATATCATGTGCAAATTAAAATCGGATAAAATTAATTAAAAAATGAAATTTTCATTACTGATACTTAACAAAATATGAACATTTAACACCCAAACTGTAATTTGGAGTGTGCCTAGTATGGAGTGTAGCAGTAAAGCTACAACTAGTCAAAACCCTATTGAAATTTGAGGACATTGATGGCATATTAGCTAGTACGTTGAACATGACACAAAGTACATACGTAATTACATGACCACGTGGCCTTTGTTGGAGTCTTCTGTCTTATTTTACGGTGATAGTTACTCATATTGAAAGCTTCTGCACATGTTGTGTTGTATTTCTCAAGGACGCAACATCATGGTTGGGTCCCGGGACCCATCCATTTTGAAAATGAGTTCCAATTCCATTTTATTAGATTGTGTTGCAGCATTTGACCCCAAAAAAAAAAAAAAATTGTCTTGCAACATTAACTTATTGTCCTTGTTTCTTCAATTTCCTCATTTACATAATAATAATAATAATAATAATAATAATAATAATAATAATAATAGAACATTTCACAGCATGAAAAATGGGGTATTAAGACCTTCAAAACGATTATGATTGATTATACAAATGAGACAAGAATCATTAAACTGTTACCATGATCTTACAATTGATAAATTTATCATTTTGTAAACTGAACTGAAAAGCCATGAGCTTTACAAGACTTTTTTTTTTTGTGTTCAGAACTATATGCATTTGTAACTATATTATTTAAGTTACTCCTTGGTATAAATAACTTCATCTTAAGTGGACTAATAAAATTTTACCTATAAAAGGTTGATATGATTTTTAATATTATAATAATAATAATAATAATTTAACTCTATTACTCTACTTTAAGATTAAGTTATTTACTCCATAAGATGACGTACACAAATCTATATTGCATCAGCATGTTTCTTTGTTTATTGATCTCAAGTGATTTTTAACAGCTAATATTTTGTTGAACGTACAGTTTCTCCCCAAACTCGTAGGAGCAGAGAACTAGAAATACTGAATAGAGAGATCAAGGGAAACTAGTTATGCAGTGGTAGAAGGCTTAAGCTACTTATATTCATTTTCATCAGAAATATATACTATAAAATGTAGACAAATTACAAGAAAATTAACGTTGATACCCTACTCAGACTAAGCTGAAACTATATATGGATCATATCCTTTTCTTATGGACTACGATCAACTATAGTTGGTTAAAATAAAAAAAAACCAAAGACATACACAACTAACAATTCTGACTAAAATATGTATGAAAAAGTCTCAATATGTAACAAACTCAGAATAGTAGGGAGTTATAGATGGGGAAAACAATCTCAGTTAGTCCCCTTCGCCAGCTATTCTTGAAATAGCTGAACATGTTCCAACATAACCGCATACCAGCCCCACAATAATTATCAAAATGCAATTTGTTATCTGAAAATCAAAAGATTTAGGTAACATGCAATTTAATTAGTCTCTTATAATAATATTAAAAGGTTTAAAAAGACAATTTGATTGAAGACATGACTTTTTACCTCAACTTTTGATAATCTATGACTATGTAGTTTGAGATAACATGCACAAGGATAAATAAGTGCCTGTCACGAAACATGACAAAAAATACATAATTCTGCTTACATGATTTGCTCAAGAAAAGTGAATATGAAGAGACAGAACATACAACTAGGATTGACATGAAAGAACCAATTAGTGCCATCAAAGAACCTGCAAAAAAATTTTGAAAGAAGAGATCAAACAACCAAATTTGTGCTCCATGATGTTACTTGATCCCCTTTTACCCAAATTAGCATTTTTTTTCTCGGGGAAAGAATATTGATTTACTGACTACTATATTGGCATATCATGATGGAATGTGAAATCAAAATTTCATGGAATTCTTGTATGCATTAAATCTTTTTAACTCTTCCAAATCCCAAGTGTAGAACAAGTGATTGAAGTAGTAATTTTGGTAAATGTGCTTAAATTTGATTTATTTTAATTATTAGTCTAAAGGACTGCAAAGGAATAAAAAGATTTAATCAAAAATATCTATATAACCATCAAACTTGAATATCAAAATAGTAGATATAGTTATAATTCAATGGATTAGGTCTATTTATTATTTTTTTATAATTTTTTTAAAAAAATAATATTTTGCTTTCTAACTAGAATTACTTCACTATATTAATTTATTAGAATAATAAGAATAATTTTTTAAAATTCTAAATATAATTTATAATTTCATTTATAATGAAACTTTATAATTTCATAACTTAATGTTTTTATTTAACGGATGTAGTTATTGGCAATAACTTATTAAATCCATTGTTTGAGTTCATAATAAATTAAAAATTATTCATATTACTTAAGTTAGAGTTTTAAGCATTGTACAAAGACATACTGTAAAAGTAACTCATTATCTTCTAAGTGAAATTATTGCAACATGAACTTCTTTTTTGTACAAGAGTTCAAAGCTTTTTTTTTTTTTTAACAAATATAAAGTGTAAATAATACAATATGCACGAAGTTAAATTTTGTTTTCAGTGATTAAGGGTTGTCAATAACTACATATTGAGTCATTTGATTAGTCAATCTATTTTACGGAGCCATCCTAAGTTCACACTAAATGGTTTCAATTTTACAATGCATCGTTTCCTTTTATATTAGCCCCTATACAATAAAATGTGAAAATATAGTTGTCCCTTCAAAAGTCATAAAAATAAGAAACAAAAATACAAAAAAACCGTGCACAAAGGGAGTAGTAGAAGTAGCTGTAACAAAGACTTACCAAAATATGGAATATAGAGGGCCACAAATAAACTTATCATCACTAAAACTGTTCTGATAAGAACAGACATAGCATGGCATCTTAGCCTGGGAGAAGGGACGAGTTCCTCTATGCTCAATGCAATAGGCAATAACGTTAAGGCATATTTTGCTAGTGGAGTCACAGCCTATAAAACACAAATTCGTTAAAAAAAGACATCAAAGCAATCATAAAATGTTGAAGGGAATTGAAAGTGTGCTTATGTTGAACATAAGTACCTAGCTATCTGCTATTAGTTGCTACCTTGTAATTAAAAAAGTAAAGAAAAATAGGAGATTGATTTTGCTTTCTTACAGTTGTCCAGGTTGCAATTTTGGATGCATATAATTCTTGTGGCATGTTTAAGGTAAACTGAGATGCAACCGAGTCTCCGAACGTTAAATAGCCCATTGTTCCCACACTCAAGTACATAACCAGACAAAAGGCAAAGCTGCAGAAGGGAAACAAATCAGTAATGCTCTTAAGCAAACTACTGTAAACTAAAAACAAGAAATAACATTTGCTATCAATTCAAACTAACATTAAAGCAAGGGTGGGGCCACAAAATATGCATTGAGGTGGCTAAAGTATAAAATCAATAAAACTCCTAACAAGTTAAGATGAAACAAATGAAGATGATACATCAATCTGTCAAAAAAAAATTTTCACATTTACAATAAAAATAACGAAGTAAACAAATTTTGATAGCCAATAAGTTTTTCTTGGGTGGACAACCTTATTTATCTTAATGAGTAGCATAAGTGCATTGAGAGTCAATGTGCAAATTTCAGTACTAGATTTCATGCTTACCTGACATATAGAACTGATGGGAATTTAGATGGTTCCTTCATGGAAGAGTAGATGTTTGGAAAAACTGCATGACCAGCAAAGCCAAAACTATAGAGACCAACCGAGACAGATATGTTTGTCAAGTCTAAAACTTTTCCACCTGGCTTGAATCCAACAACTTGGTCTATTGTTCCAACCCAAAACAAGCAGAATGAGACAAGCATTGTTGCAAATATTCCTCCAACTGAGGACAAAGGTAACTGTTGTTAGAACCTAAATTTGAAAGAGAGAATTTATACATACATCACAATGGTGAAAAAAAAAACCTGAAATAAAAGAAAGAAGGTTTAGATTTCGCAGCCAAACTGTAGGTAGAACAAGAACAGCTGCTGTGATGGCAAAAATTTGTTGAGTGTCAAAATCAGTCCCACCAAATCTCATGTGGGTGTTAGGAAACAGTGATGAGAGGTTATCACTGACTAGTATTATATACTCAACACAAGAAGCCTACACAGAAGAGCTAGTAACCTTTCAGTACATATGAGAATCAATAGAGCAAAAGAATACATAAACAATTGCAAATAGATCAAACTCTTGCACTTACAAACAGCTCCACATATAAAATTATCTGCATTTGGTAAAAAACATAGCTGTTAGTTTCCCCTATTGTTGTTGCATATGTTCAGATTGTTGTACTCGCTAATTTCTATACCTATTGTACTCACCGCAATCCCCAAGCGACCGGCAACTCCAAAAGCAGCCTGGCCAATATCTGGGTATGTTTTGAGACTAAGGTGGCTGTCTAAACATCTTTTCAATAAAATTCCAGTATAACAGCAGATAATAGCAAACATTACAAGCAATGTAAGACTCAACCACCCTCCTTCTTTTACTGCATATGGAATGGTAAGAATTCCTATGCCACATAATATATTGGTTCCTTCATAGAAAACCAAAAATTATGTAAGACATCAGAGAAAATAAAGGCAATTGTGCATAAAAAATCTCATCTGTATATCACTGGCAATGAGTTGAGTTTTAAATATCTAAAAATTTTAGTAGCTTATACCTTAAAATCAGATCTCTACCTGTTTTAATTCACACCAATGAAATATTACTGTTGTGATTATACACGTGACAACATAATAATTACTCTCTCTATATATATATATCTTAGTAAATACGTGAAGATGGAAAACTTAGAATGAAGAATATGATGATAGTTACCATTAATTACTGATTGCGAAAATGAACATTGCTGCTGTGGTGGTGGACAGCTTGATTGCTCATGGGGTGCTGAGGCAGGTTCATCCTGTTGTGTCAATGAACTTGTCTCGCTAAAAAGAGGTACACTCAAAGATGAATCATCTTCGTTTTCCTGAAATCTCCTGAATGCTGTAGTGAAAGAGTTAGTTCCTCCTTTTGAACCAATTCTCTTTAGGAAAGTAAGTCCAGGTGGTGTTACACTAGTTAACATGTCCATAGATTGCCTGCACGTAATGAACAAAGGAATTTTGGATTCTATTGCTTATAAATAATCACTTTCTTTCAATTTCAAACATATTAATTCATTACTTGTCCCTTCTGTTTAAGATTTTGTTACAGTCTTTTTCTAATGTATAAAAATAAATTTTTTTTGGTATTTAGGACAGTAAATAAAACAATTAAGTGTTTATTCATTAAGCTTATTTTAACAAACTTCACATTTAAATAAGGAAAAAAGTACTAATATAAATATTACAAGCCACTTCTGTAAATAAGCTTTCAATCCTTTTAAATTTGCCCTCAATGAAAAATATATCAAATCGTTATGCATTTTGTTTGAATACCCCATTAATCGTTTATCCCATCCCAACCTATTCCCCTATTGTAACTTTTCCTTAATAGCATTATCGTTCATGAAAATTCATGTCGTATATATCCATATGGAGACCTTGAACTTCTTAATCCGCGTATGTGTCTGTAGCATCATGCATGAAAATATTGTTTCCCAAACTCTAAGACCAACTCACGTTAAAGGAAGCAGTAATTTGTTTCCCAAACTGATTATTAAAAAGACCAATGCAAATCACAAAGGCCAAAAAATAACTCACAAACAGAAGACAAATTACTCTACATGAAAAGCTAGTGCATGCATAAAATTGAATGTACAACGAAGTGGATATATAAGTTCTAAAATTAAAAAGAAAAGATAAATTAAAATCAAAACATACAACAACGATAAGTATTAACAATTAATAATATACCTATAACTTAGAGGCCAAGAGGGACTCATGGAAACCTCATTGGACAAAGTTGGTGAAAGGGGTGTGTTATCTGATTCGGTATCATCATCCAAATGTTCAAACACCCTTTCTGCCTGATTTTCTTCATCGTCAGTTTGGATATCATCCTCACGATCAGGACCCAGATCCTCATCTAGCTTCATCTTTCCTCTCTTCATTCCAGGCCGCTCCCTTGTTTCCCAATAACGTATATCAAAAAGAGAAAGAGACCAAAAAGAAAAATAATAAAAATAATAATTGCAATTTTCGTGGAATTGAATTCTAAGAAAAACACGAATGTTGAGGTTGCTTTGAACTATGTTAGCGTGCCACAGTTTTAGTCGCATAGAGGTGACAACTTGCTATATTAATTCGCTTGGATTTTTAAGACTTTTTGTTCATCAATGACCAAAGAGACTTGCTAATAATAGGAAACCATGCAAGAGACATTTGGGTTGTCCAAATTTAACGTGTTCTTTGTATCAAAATTATTATTGAATGGAGTTTCCATTCTTAATTATTGTGAGTGAAAATGACTTTGTTGAGAGAATTAAGAAACTCACTTAATCATGTCCATGTTTCAGAAGAAATTAGTCTCCAATCATCGACCGGAATGAAATGATCATAGTACACACCAAAAGCTCATAGAGGACTAAGAGGAGGCGTTGAATTTGTTAAGCAACACACCCTTTATTATCGTAGGTGTAGGTTACATTTTTCATTTTAATTAGCGCTTCTATCTTCTTATTTGTCGTACCTTTGGACGAAGTCTACAAATTTTATCTTTATCCTCTTAACTACTTTAAAATGGTCAATTAAAAAAAACTACTTTAAAATATTCTTATCAACATCAGCTTATAAAAAAGAAACAGAATTGATTGTTTAGTAATTATTAATTTTGACGAAAGCAGAACAATAACTATAAACATCACTTATCCTTAACTTAATTACTTAACCTGTTAAATATGGATTTGTTAGTAAAATTTTCGTTTCACCATTTTTTGTGCTGTATAGCACGGTTCTAATAAAATAAAATGCTTATCAACAAAATAAAATATATAGACTTGAAAATCTCGCATAAGGAGGTTATTACATAAACTAATAAATATTCGTGCATGTATTGTCTACGAATATTTTTAAATTCACTAAAATATAAAACTAGAATTGAAGGGAATAATTTAAAAAATATTTAAATTATAAAAGCCCATTACTAATTGATATAAAATGTGTAAAACATTAATTAGAAATGAAATATTTAAAATAAAAATTATAATTAATTAAAATAAGTTTTTATTTAAAATTAAAGATGTCTCGTTTCCTAAAGAATAAAAGAATAAAAAATTAAATTACCCTTAAAAAGTATATTTTACTGTAAAAAATTTAAAAGAAAAAAAAATCAATTCTATTATTTTTTTACTATTAAATAGGGTTGAAATCTCAAACCAAATAAAACTACCTATACAATCTAAAGTTCCAGATTCTTAGAAAATCCAAACCAAGAAAAGGAACCAAGAGAGAGACCCTTATCAAAGTATGAGGTTGTATCAAGAGAACCTATATCCAATTTAGCTAGCATGTTGGCACACCTGTTCCCTTCTCTCATTGTATGCCTAAACCTAATAAAAAGGATGTCTTTCAAAATATTTTTAATAGCATCAATTAGACTGAAAGAAGGATGGTTACAATTTTGAAAATTTAAATTCAATCCATATTACTTCAATGTTTTTATGTATTACAAGCTGCAAACCAAATAATTGTCCCCATAGGAAATCCAACTCCTCCTTAGGAACTGGACTAAGAGCAAACTTAAACAAATTCTAGATAGAGGAGATCCAATTATCTTCCCAAAATTTGGCTGATAATCCATCCCTAATAACCTAACACAAATCCTTACAAAAGTTATTCCAAACAGCAATTATATTTCTCTATAAGTGAAAATTTTCATATTATTTCTTGAATTAAGATTTTTACCTATATAAAAATTATACTTTTTATTCATTACTTTGACCCATAAGTCATGGGGAGATTTGATTAACCTCCACAAGAGTTTCATTATATAGGTTCTATTTAATATAGAAATCTCCTTAAAACATATGCCTCCTTTCACTTTAGGTCGACAAATTTTATCCCAACTAATTAAATGCTATTTTCTTTTTTTAAAAGATCTTCAAATAAAATTCTTGCAAATTTTATTAACTTCCTTACAAACAAAATTAGGAATAAGTATTGTTTGCATGATATAAGAAGGAATGGATAAAAGACAGGATTGAGCCAAAATGACTCTCTCAACTAAAGATAAGGTATTCATTTTCCATAAACCAAGCTTCTTTCTAATTTTATCTAAGATAAAATTAAAATCCCTTCTCCTAATTAATTTAAATTAATCGCTAAATTTAACTTTCTTATATTCCAAAACTTTTTCATTTTATAATTGATTCTTAAACTTTGGCTATGTTTGATAAAGGTAATTTGGTTAATAAATTAGTAAAGTTATTTGATAAATACAAGATAAAAGAAGCTTATTTGAAAATTAGTTTTTCAAAAATTATATAAACAAGTTTTTAATTTCAAATGTGACCTACTAATATTTCTATTACATTCTTATCCTTTATCTATTTGAAAAAGATAATTTATCATTCACGAAATTAAAATTTAATATATTAATTTTATTATTATTTTGTTCTCTTCTTTTTTTTCTTTTTTATTATTAATAGTTAATAATATATTATTATAAAAAATTAATTAATTAAATAAATAATGCTTTAAAAATTTAAAAATAAATTATTTCAATCAATTTTTGTAATTTTTATTAATATAATATCTTAAAATTAATAATTTAAAAAAATTCAAGTTATTGCTTAAATTAATAATATTATTTCATTAATAAAATATATTAAAATAAATTATATCTAATTTTAATATAATATTATATGTTCTTTTAAGTTATTTAATACAAATCAATCAATTGTAAAACTAGTTTGTCATACAATTTAATTTTATTAGTTACTCATACAGTTATAAGTTTCAAGCTATAAATTCACATCTTTTAGTGACGGTAAGAAACTACAAGCTTATAACTTTATCTCGTTTTACCAAACATAACCTTTATCTCTTTTAAATATAAATATTCAAAACCTTAATTTTATCTCAATTAATTATTAAATTTTATTATTTTTACTAAAAATTCCTTCTATTAAGTCATAATTATATTGTAAAAAAATAAATCTAAACTATTTATTCATCTCAAATCTTAAACATTTATAATTTTTACTTCTATAAAGCACTTTTCCAAACATTAAATGTAATATAATAAAAAAAACTAAGTAAAATCAATTAACTTTTAATATATGTTGAGTAGTACATGATAAGAATTAGTATATACGAAATTTTTATTAAAAATTTGAAAGATATAACAAATTTAGTGTATTGGTAATATTAAATATTATAATTTTTAATAAAATAAATTTATTATTATAAAAATGCAAAGTACAAATTGATTTTATAGACATGTTTTTTTTTATCTGTATTATAGATAGCAAATTAAAAAATTATATATTTTTTTAAGTTTTGCCTAATTATGTTTCTTGTTCCTATAAATATAAGGCATTTTGTAATAAGTTCTTATAAAATTTTTTGTTAGGATTTAATGAATGTAAAGTTAAGAAGTTGTGATTTAATTTCTATAGTCAACTTTTTTTTGTTAAGTGTTGAGCTAACCGATAAAGAGAATTCAACACTTTCATGTTGTATGTCACATTATTTAATTATATATTTTATTATTTAAAATTAATATTTGCAAATAAGCCTTTGAATACATCTTCAATATTTGCATTCCATAAAGCACATTACATATGAGATTTTCCATCTATGGCTGCATTTATGGAACATTGCATTTCATTAAAACAGTTTTAGATCCATTTGTAATGTGCAGAAATGATCAAAATTGCATTTTCTCCTTCTTCTTTCTCACTTCTCTATTTTTCTCTATCTCTCTCCTCCCTCTCTCTATCACCTTCAGTTCTTTGTCCATTATTGTAACACTTAAATTTAATTTCAATAAATAATGAATTTCACAAATTTTTGAAATAATAAAACTTATATTTTTACTTCAAGTTTCATCAAACATTTCAAATAAAGAAAAAGGGTTACAAATTACATCAAACAGTTGCTACAGGACTTATTCAAATACAATAGTTTTCCAAAATAATATCCTAAGTCCTATAACAGTTTCATCCACCCCTTCACTGAGTCCGGTGCTGATCGTCTTGATTACCTAAAAAATAAATGTAAGGGTAAGTACTCTACACTACCAAACCACAATCAAGCATAGAGTCTCACCTCTAACTCATTTCCAATACATTAAACAAATACAGTCACAGACAGCATTATCACACAGTTCATGTCAATTTAACACCGATGCACTCACGGCATTGGTAGCATTTCACATCCGTAAGTACAATACACAAACCCATGCATATGCACGCTAGCCACACTCACTACACTCACTGTGGCACTGTGATCACAGATTTACATCATGAATGGTTGCCGGTTACCCCTGCCTCACGAATACCACGTGGGCAGTCACGGGTCACTCAACAAAGGTAGTGATCAAAGGTCTAGTCAGGAAGAGAGTGTGTGGCCCGTGGTGCACCCATTCCACAGTCGGTGTCACCACCACTCCCTCTTCCCCAAGGTATTTCTACCGTCCTCATCTTCCACACCCCAATGTATCGCTGAACCATTCACAGCACATTACAACAGCGCTACACGCCTCATTCACATACATTTCATTCACGCACGCAATATTCATGCTTGCACACGGCACACAACCTATATTTAATTCACAGTACTCGGTACATAGCCTACATTTTATCTATAATATATGGCACATAGCCTTCATTCATTCATAATAACATTAATTTACCAATCAATAGCATTGTATCACACATAATCACCCCCACGGGCCCTAACTATTCCAGCATACATCACATTACACACCAATTTCCATCAAACAAATAATTCCTACTCTCTATCTCAGCCACATTGCATTAATTAACCAAACACACAAGAATTACAACACATTTGAGATAGGTAGAGTCCCTCATTACCTTGGATCGGAGACCCACATGCTAAATCCACCAAGAAATGCTCTCCTGCACGGATTGCGGCCTAAACACATGGAAGAAGTCCATGAGAACCCAAGGAAACCACAAAAACAGAGAATGTGGTTGAAAAACGGAAACTCTAATAATTAAAACTCACCTCCAAGCGTTCTCCACACGAATTTAACCTTCAATCAAGCTTTTGAACGGCTTTGGAGGCAATATAATCGGTAGAAAAGGGTTGGGAATGAGAGGATCAAAGGGAATTTGAAGGGAGAGGGAGAAATAACTCTCCCCGAACCCTAACCCCCTTTAAATCCTTTTTTGGTCGCGACACTCTCGCTACAGCGAGATATTCTCGCTGCAGTGACACGCCCTCACGCTGCAGCGAAAAATCAGACAAAACTGCACCCTGATTTCTGCAGAATCTCGCTACACCAAGACCCTCCTGCTACAGCGAGACTGCACCCATAAATGTACCCCAAAATGTCGCTCTCTCGCTACAGCGAGAAAGTGACAGTTTCAGTCCTTCCTCCTAGGGCCCTCTCGCTGCAGCAAGAACAGCCCAGTATTACACTCTGCATTTAGGCACTTAGCCTATTTCAACCTATCCAGTCATGCATACACATATATATACACACATCCACAACATATATTTAAAATACACACACACATATATATAGAGATTTATATAAATAACAATAATTAATATTACAAAATTAGGGGAGTTACAATTGTCAGTAGTTGGAGCATCTATTTTGAAAATAAATTGCACCATTGTGTTTCTCGAACAATACTTTAACTCTAACTTTTAATTGGTTTAATTTTTAAATTTTTAATGTAAAATAAAGACTTATGATTTCTAAGATAAAGTTATAGGACTGGAGATTGCATAATTAGAAGATGGGCATAAAGGTCCTTTACCGAATTATTTGTATTGTTTGTTGTGAGATTGTTTATGTTTGTGGATATTATAGAATATGAATATGCTGGAGCAATAAGGAAATGCACTTTAGAATGATTTTAGGATTGTAATGAGTATGTTTATAATTTATTTATCAACATATTTTAAGATGGTATCTTGATCTTCTTTGTTGTTTAAGCTATTTGCATAACTAGCTTGTTATAGGCTGCTAAAACATGTTTGATTAAATAAAGATATTAGTTTTTATATAAAATGCATTTACTTAGCGTGATGGGTGCAGAGAACAATACAGGAGAAAAGAGGGATGAGATAATTGAAATGAGATTATAATTTGACCTTATTCTAATTATTATAATGCATTCAGTAGACAAACAAACCAACCGAGTTTTAATATTTCCATAAAAAAAAAGTTGCTTTCAATCTTGCTTTGCATTAGTTTAAGTAACCAAATGAGTTACATGGTTTATGAAAAAGGGAAGCTAAGATTATTTTGTATCTTTTAAAGCATTAGAAGCTCCATAACTAAATGGAAAAATAAATTAAGTGGATGGTTGAAAAAAGGAGAAAAAAAAAGGTTGGTATCTAATGACAAGAAGTCCTTAAAATGAAGGTTGGCTGGGGCATCTATAATCAATTTGAATAATACACCAAGTTTTTGTCAAATTTTATTGGAAATATGTATATTATATATATATATATATTATGTGCAAAGAAAATGTTTATTTTTGTATTGTTTTAATATACGTAAGAAAATATTCATATATTAGAACAGACTCTATCAAAATTTACATTAAAAATTCGTGTGATGTAAAACAAAAGATATTCATATACTATTGTGTGATTGTATTAGGTTTGACTCAAGCATAGTAAGGTTTGATTCAGATATGGTAAGTAAAGATAAAAATTGTTTTTGAACCTTGATATGTGCTTCTTCCCCATCCAGTACAATGAATTTCAGAGTTTACACTATCGACTACATCTATCATATTATTCCCCTTTACACAATACATAGGAGAAGGATCTAATACTTTTTTTAAAACTTATTTTGAACTTTGATATCAGGAAAAAATTATAATAAAAAACTAACAATGATTAAGTTTTGTGGTTAAATAAATTATTATTATTTGTTCTCTGTTGGTAATTTAACTTTAATTTAATAAAATAGGCTATTTGCAAGAAAGATAAAATTTAAGGATCATTTAGTATAAAATTAAATTTTAGAATGTTTATTCTCACGGGAGATAAATTTAAAGATTCACAGGTATAAAATATAAATTTGGAGTGTTTATTGATAAAAGATAAAAATTAAAAATTAAAACTAAAATAATTTATTAGTCTCTAAAAATGTTATATTTTTTTATTTTAGTCTGCATAAAAAAATTATTCAGTTTAAATTTCTTAAAATATAAAAAATTATAAGAATTAATTTTTTTTTCTTTTTTCTTGTTAATCAAAAGTATATACTTGATAATCAATTCTTAGATACAGTACCTATGATGTTATTAGTGCATTTGTCCAATATAAAGCTACTTTCATCTAAATGTCTACTGCTATGATTTTGATAATTGAAATCAGTAAAAATCATTAAAATAAAATATTAGTTTTAATAGAAAAGATAATACTAACAGTATTTATACCATGTTAAGTTTTATCTTAATCAAAATTGATACTGCTGATTATTACCCTATTTTTGGGGTTTGGAGTGGATTTTCAATTACAAACAATCTCTCGGTCCTCTAAAACATAGTTAAACATTCCAAATGACATGGCTCTTTTGAAATTATTCTTATTGAACTATAATCAAAATTTTGACTCGCAAACTATATACTCTGTTTGTTGCAGATTTTTTATTCCTAATGTATCGTCAATGTAATTATAAAACTCACGTCACAATTAAAAATAATAACGAGTTGTAGTTATTTATAAGTAGTACATATAGCACCCTATTTTAAAGGAATTATACCTAAAGTTGAACTCACATTTTCTCTATCGTTATTGTTCCTTTTGGACCAAGTCTTCAAATCGTATCTTCAAAGCCCATACACTAACTAAAACAAGCTTATCTCCGAAAACAAGAGACTCAAAATCAAATACATGAATTCAAAAAGAATTTTTTTTAACTTCATTTCTTGAAATTTAGTTTAATCACTTAAAGAAATAATATTTTAAACTTAAAAATTATTTATTATATTAAATTTATAAATGTGTGATAAATAATTTTTAACCAATTTTTTTATTGCGTAAAGAAGAGAAAGTTTTAAAATTTGAATTACGAGAAAATGAAAGTACAGAAAAAATTTAGATATTTGGTTTCAAATTTTTTTTATTTTTAAATTACAAAATCATCGTCTTATTTCTATTCTATTTTTTATTTTCAAATATTTATAAAAGAACACTAAAAATAACGTTTTTAGTTTCCATTATTTTCTCTGTACAAATCTTTAAAACAGGAAAAGGAATAAACTAATGTAACAATTTTACAATTAACAGTAAATTAAAAAAATTGAAAGCACTTCTTAAACTTAAGCAGCCCCCTTATTTTCTTTCTTCTCTTTCAAACTTGACATTAATTTTTCCAACTGGGCCTAATACCACATCCTTGTTTTCATGATATATCAAATTTTGGTATAATAGTGGTAGTTCTGTTGCAAATTATCCATGCCTAATTAAGTAAAGAGTAATGCCTATAGCTATACCTGGTTTATAGCCGAAGGGCAACCCATTGAGATTGAGAATGTTTTATGGTTTTGTAGAGTTAAGTCTATGCTCATAAACATATCAGATGCAGTCAGAAATAGGATAAAAGAACAGACATATATTTATTGGGGTTTCTTATTAGCAATGTGATTCAAGTACATACAACACATGCACAATTAGATAACGACTAATGCAAGTATTTTGATCAAAACAGATTTGGAATTTCTTTTGAGGAACATGGCGGTGTCATGATGCGGGAGAGAAAAACACAAACCAGATATGCAACGAAAAATGATAAGTATCTGAACAAGGGAAATTTGTGTTTTTCTCTCCTATCATGATCATCTTATATAGGAAGAAGAAACACAAGGAGGGGATCAAATTCTCTTTTAGCTACACACGAAATTTAAAAAATAAAAATGGGAAGGAAAAGTGGCAAGTGTTTGTCTATTTGTCAATTTGGTTAAGTTTGCCCAAACCATTGCAGCGAGGACAAACAATTTGAGCTTGATCCTTTCTTGCTGCATTTGCTCTCAATGCCGCATCTGCCCTTCGAATAAACCCTGCTCCATCACACTCAGGGCATCTGCCACATTCATATCATTCACAAATCAACCTTGTAAATTTAAATTCTACTAGTTTAATATGTGTTTGATTCAACTAAATTAAAACAAATAATTATATATCTTTTTACCTTTCCAAGAAAGATTTTATTCAAAATAAACAATTATTTTCTCATTAATTAACTTCACTTCAATTTTTAAAACATGTTTTATACTGTTTTATTAATTAAAATGAGAATTTTGCCTCCATAACCAACTACATTTAAACTTTGACCTGAGTTCATTCTTAACATATGATTGGTCATCCTACACAAGAATCACTAGAAATGCAAATGTTTGAACCACAACAAATTATACATGAAAATTGTCGTTGTGTTAAGTATTAACCTTAGCTAGAGCATAGGGTAAATAATGTCTGTTCTTATAAATAATTTCTCTAGCAGAAAACTAGATAAGGGTATTTACGTGTCTTTGCGAGAGAACACAATGGGGAAGGCTGTTCCAATGAGTGCAACTGCAATAGCACCTGCAACAAGGTAAGTGGTGCTGTCAGAAGATACATCTCCAACTGCTGAAACCACAATTGTAGAAGATCTATTATTGATCCTCTGAATCCTGCCACAGGGTAAGCCACTTGAGCCCGAAAATGAGAATCTTGTGTTGGGAATAGTAACACGGGTAGGGAAGATGGGTGTGTTCTTAGGAATAATGGTATGAAGGGGAGTGATGGATGCCATGTTTTCTGAACAAGTGCAATTAAACAAAATGTGTTACACAATGTGGGAAGAAGAAGGGTCGGAAAGTGGGAACTAAAAAGTGACCAATAGTTTTGAGTTAGTGGATGGATGCTAACATGACACATAGCATGGTTTTATAAATGGGATTGTGGGTGAAAGTGATTTGGATAAGGCCACGTCAGAACTTGGGATTTCCAAAGGGGTTTGGATAAGACACAGTGTACAACCTCTGTTTTTAGTCAGCTATGGATCTCAACCATATGAGAAACGAAGCAAGATACGAGGCATCAGAGTGTTACACGATGTTACATCTCTTCCATGCAACCAAAAGATTTGTTCGGTAATGATTCTTTGATACTCCAACACGCGTTTAAAAGTGAAAATTATCACTCATATTAGTTTAAATATGCATCTCAATTACCCATTATATATATAATGATTCCAAATCAACTCTATTCTACCAATGCTCGTGGCATTTTTGTTTTTCGTAAGAAGGATGGTTGAATTTAAAACAAAGTATGAATTCATGTTATTTATGTACAAAAGTTTTGAGAATGGATGTGGATATTACTTATTATTTACTATGTTAAATTTAAAATAAAAATTAACATTATACTCTTTACTCTTCAACTTTTTAAGTCATAACTCATAAATGCTATCCCAATGACTTTATTTTGTTGGCTAGCCTCTCGTTTCAGACATTTTATTGCATTATCACTGTTGGGTCACTTTTCAAATTCGTGAGTTGAGGAACATTGTTGGATGACTATCTAAAGATTATATAATTAAAATATTAAACATAATTTTTGTTTAACTAAAGTGTGGATAATGAGTTTAAGTATGACTATCAAAGTATGCAGATGGTATAAGAATGAACATTGTTAATGGCTGATCAAACAATAGAATGAAAAATAATAGGATAAGATAGGTAGATTAAGATAGAACAGAAGGATAAACGTATAATTAAAAAAAAATATATAAATTATAGTTAAATGATTAAATTATTCTTTTATCAAAATTAACATAATTTTTTTAAAATGTTGTTTATTTAACTTTTAAATTTTCAATAAAAATATAAATTAAAAATTTTAAAATATTTTTCTGTACATAAAATATTAAAATTTTGAAATTAAATTATAATAGTTTTCTTTAATTTTTACAATTAATTTTTTAGAAATTCTAATAGAAAGATAAATTATAAAAATTTAAAATTATACCTTAATAATGAGTAAAATATATTTTTATAAAAATATAATTTTTAAAATATTTTTATTAAAAAAATGTTCATATAATATTTTTATAAAATATTAAAAAGATTAAAAAAAATTATGTTTCTTAACTCTTAACTCTTCACTCTTTTATCTTATAAATTATCTTACTTTAACTAAGTTATCATTTACTATATGGTGTAGGAAAAGGGATAAGTATTTTTCTAAAACGCATATTTACAAACAAGGTATTATAATGTCTTTTATAAATTCATGCAGTGCTTTGGATTTTCATTTTATATTTGATTTGGGTTTAGAGTTTAAAGTTTTAGATTTAGACACTTTAGTCCATTTAATTGTTACTTTTAATTGAAATTTGTATTGTTTTATTTGTGAGAATCCCAAACAAGTCTTATTTATGTTAGTTCATACCTTTTAGCTTTGAGAATAATTTTAAATTTTCTTTTCTTCTGCACCTTGCAAAATTAATATCAATTCACCGAATTGTTTGATTGCGTGGTTAGATCTCAAGAAAATTTTTTATTTTTTTTATAAAAAATTAATATTATCTTTTTTTAATAAAAATATGTTTTAGAAAGTTAAGAGACTGAATTATTTAATACCTAAACAATTTAATTTATAATAATAATTAATTTTGATATTAAATTATAATAAGTTCCTTAATTTTTCTTACGATTAGAATTTATTTATTTTTAATAAATTATAACTAAAGCAAAAGTAAACTATAAAAAAAGTACAATTATATTTTTAATTAAAATTACTCTAATTTAAAAATTAATTTTTAATTTATCCCTCTTCTTTTTCCCCTTCTCACTGTGAGATTTTTGAAGAAAAAAAAATTCGCACAGACATCGTTGCCAAAAATAATATATCTATAATATTAATGGAAACTAATTACAGTGCGTGTAATGAAACATATTTTAAATTAAGAGAGAAAAGACGAAGTTTTGTATTGAAAAAAGAAAAAAAAAATATGAATAGGAAAAAAAAAGTTACTAATAATGTTTAACAGAGTTCACATTTTTAATAAAAAAATATTTATTTAAAATATTTTTAAAAGTTAAGAAACGGGAAAAAAATACAAAAAAGATTACTTTTTTTCATACCTTTTGATTGGGACTTTGATCGTAGCATAAGCAAATTTTAAGTAAATATTACTATTTCTTTTTACAAAATATAAAAAATTGTTAGAAAAAGATTGGAATTATTGAGAAATATTGATAAATAAGGATAAGAAAAGTATAAATGAAAACAAAATTTATTGGGACACTTAAAAATATTATTAAGGGACATAAATAGAGAAAATGATGCAAATAATCTCACCCGAAAAATCACATACATTTCATAATAAGAAAAAAAAATGATAACAACACAAATCAATATTGTCTTTTAAATTATTATTTTTTTGTTAGTCGGTAAAATCTTATGTTAAACCCACTAAATAATCTGAGTCGACTCTATTAAGATGCCTGCAAGAATTTTTATTCTCAGCTTTAAAAAAGTTTTAATTAAATTTTTAGTCTCTCAAAATTTGTGATTTTTCATTTGATTCTTTATTTTTTTTATAAATAAATCCCTCAAAATCTGTTTAGTTACAAAATAACCTCTTTCGTTTAGTTTCTTCATTTGGTTCCTTTAAGGAAGAAATGAAAATTCATATTTATGAGGATAAAAAAAAATCAATTTTAAAAGGATCAAATTAAAAAATTTATGATAATTTAAAGGAACCCCGTATGAAAAATAAAAAATTCATAAAATGATCATTTAATTAAAAAAAAAAAGCGACTAAATAAAAAATCTCAACTTTTCGTAAGCTAAAAATTTAATTAAGTCTTAAATCAGTATTATAAGGTATCTAAGAATATATAATTCATACTTCTTCCAGTCTTAAATATAAGAAAAATAAATAAATTTTCTTATAAAGAAGATTAGTTAAGAAAATTAGTTTATCTCATTGAATGTCCTTAATTTTATAAAAAAAAAAAAAAGTATTTTTCCTTTTCATAATATTTATTGCACAATAAATAATTAAATCATTAGCATTGAGTAATATTAGTTGATGGTTTAAATTCTTATAGTTTCAAATGTGAAAGTTATATGTAATTGTTTATGTCATATTTTGAGAATAAAAATTCATTAAATATTAAATTTGAATTAGTACAGGATATTTTGAAAATAATTTTATTAAATAGTGTAAAATTAATTAAAATGTACTTATATTAGACCACCATGGCTCAATTTAGATTTGTTTATATACGAGACAGGAGGGAGTATCTTTTAATAAAATATATTGGTTTTTGCTTTCAAATTTCTGACAACTGAATGTCAAATTGTTTCATCCCCGACGATAGCTCCCCAGTGGTTAGACAAACTTCCAAGGTGTCAAGTCAAACTATTCAAAAAGGAAGTCAAGCAAGCGTGTTAAATATAACATCAAATATTGATCACCTAAATTCAACGTTTTCCACCCCAATGACCTCAAACCCTATTGAAGACTCCAAACGTGATTTTGACACTGCCATATTTTACACGAAACAGGTTATGACCGTCTCTATACCATTCTTCCATACACATTAAACTGTCGTTTGACAAGTACTTCAATTATCAAAGACACTGAGATTACTAACCTTCCTATCTAAATGGTTCTAGTACAAATTTGTTGAGTAAATATCAAACCTCGTAATTTGAGAAGTGTTCTTACTAAACACAAAAGTAAACCACATCTTGTTATTGTTGTCAATCATCAAAATTATCTAATAATTGTACGTGCTTGACAAAAAAATTTGAAATTGAAACCACGAGCATGATGAAAATGTTGCACTCTGCATAGACTGCAAGCTTGAAATAAATGTCGCTTTTCCTCCCACTACTCAACAGTTTAATAGATCTAATGCCTCGACTTGCATAAATTAACTTTCTCCCAAATCGTGGTCTGCATACGGTTTTAACATTCTTTGCTAAAAGGAAACTGTTAAATGTCTTCATCTAAATAGAAAATGATTTCGCATGGTTTCACGAATATTAAATTGTTTTATTTTACAAAAATCTCCAGCGAGATACAATGGTCAAGCAACTTTCAAATCAAATCCAGCCATATATTTTATTGATTCGATTGTGAAATGCATTTATTTTAGCACGCAGACTATTTTTATTTCGAGCAATGCTTGTAAATTTCCATATGCAATTAGAAACAGATTATCAAGTGATTCACACATTACGAAATTACCAATAAAAATAAATGGATTAAAAACCACGGCACTAAAATAAATAAGCCCATAAACTAAACTAAGAGTCGTTCACAGTTTCACACACTATCAAATTAGCAATGCAGGATATGTGGCACCTTTTATTGATTGAAAACTCCAGATATTATATTATCCTAACAAAAGTTAATCATATAACATGATGATCGTATAAAATTTACTGCAGCAAATGACTACATCAACCATTGATCACATGGATGATGATGATGATTTTGAAAACAGATACAACATATAATTGTACCAGAAGTCATACCCTAGATCAACCATAAATAAAACCTCTAAATTTAACACGTCATCAAGCAATCAAGTAAATCGACAGACTCTAAGTCATTCTAACAAAAACTAGATTGCATTATAAAGTCATAAACAAAGAAATGTTTTCCTTGGATCATGCAAAAACAAAATTGAGGCAATCATATGCTTAAAGTTGAAAAGAACATATAAAATAACAACAGAAAGTCACGGGCAACATGAAACTTCCCCATGCATCGTAAAAGAAAAGATACCGGTAAAGGTATGCTGCTATTATTACGGAGGGGGGTTTGGATTTCAGATACTATCAGAAAAATCCTCTTAATATTTTTTTGTTAACATCACTAATTTCTATTCGAAAAGCCAGGTTACGCGAATGACAGTATGCGAACAACTTAAACAAATACAATATCATATTGTTGACAAGATGTGAAAAGATCTTGCAGTGTCAAACAGTAGTAATGATAAAACAGAACAAACATTCACCAACAAAAGAAGCGAGCATAGCAAATGGTATCTGATTGCAACAAAATGCTGCTGGCATCATTGAATTCAGTTCTCACATATTACTTTCCTTCAATCTTCTAAGCAATACTTTCAAATTATTAACAGCAGTATACTACAAGAGAAATACCTATGAAAAGTACAGGTGAAATTTATTCCAGTCACCTGCATTTATTTCCTTTTCTGCCTAGTAGCAAAGATGAAACCTGCACGTCAAAGTGATCTAGCAGCGAAATAAACACCCTAAAACCAGAAAATGCAACATTGCTTCTTAACTGTAGATTTGACCATTAAAGGCATACATAAAATCAATACCTAGAATAACAATTTCATCAGCAGTACTACAATCCTCCTAGCCACAAACTACATAGAAATAGTTGAAGACCTTATTCCAAATGGTGATCTATCGGTGGGTCATGCAATTGCCCCATCCTAAATGTGTGAATCAAGCATCTGAGCGACTCCGTGGTTGAAATTTTCATCTTCCCAAACCAATCACATGGAAAAAGAAGTTTGAAAGAGACAAATGCCAACAAAGTAGACCCACAAATATTTAATTACACCTAATACGAACCCATAAGAAACCAATGCTATATAGACAAAGAAACAAGCCATGTTACATCAACAAACAAAATCATAATTTTCCGTAACCCAACAGACCCACATTTCAAAATAAATAAAACACCATAAATCGCTAGCATTAATTTCTCACACTACAAAAACCAGTAGAATTCTTCAAAACCAAAAATAAATAAAAACATAAAAAATACTTCTACAGTAACACTAAACAGCTCATCTTTCCGCCTTCCATTCTACCTAAACGGCTAAACCTCATTACAACCACAAGCAAAGTTCAAAACCCTAACTTGCAAAAGTTCAATTCAGCAATTCCAGAAAACCGTTTATCAGGTATAGTTATTTACAGTATGCCAGTAACCATACAATTATAAATTTTCAAAGCTATAACCTCAAATGAATACTTTAAAAAAAAAAAAAGAAGCTAAAACCATTATAAAAATTTCAATTCTCCTAAAACCTGAAACTTCAAACTTCAACTACGAGCCCCTGAATCTAGAAAAAACCGTTGAGGCAGAGCGAGATCTTACATTGACACCAGAATTTCTCGTCGAGGAACGAGAAAAATTCCTCCTAACCCTCCCAAAGTAGGAAGCAAGATTCCGCAGAACCGCACCGAATCCCCTATTTTCTCTCGATCTTCCAACAGAGGAATCCCAAGAGATCCTCCTGGGAGCACCGTTAACGCCGTTAAACCCACCGTCCATTTCGGTGTACACAACAGGAAGTTCCCTACCACCAATGAACCTTCCCACAGCGAATCCTCCCCCGGGGAGTCTCCATATGGTTAACCCCACAGTATCATCCCCTGCACCGCCAGTGGCGTCGGCGGGAAGCTCATGGCGACACACGGGGCACGAGTTTCGGACGGACAGCCACGGCACGATGCAATCGGAATGGTACACGTGACCGCACGGCATCTCACGTGCGTCGCAATCTAATTGGAAGGGTTCCATACAAACAGTGCAGTGTGACTCGGCGTGGATATGGCTGGCGATGATTTTAACCACTGGCATCGACTCGATCGCGGCTTTTGATGCGGCTGGGGGTGGGGGCCGGTCCAGCCGAACCGCGGTTCCTTCGAGCTGAGCCAGTTGGTCTAGTAAGTGGTCGAACCCTGAACCCATTAGAAACTCCGTTACGCCAGCCGGTAATGGACGAAGACCGGATCCTGAACCGGAACCTGAACCGGTGTCGTTGTAATAGAGCTCGAAGTTGCGCGTTTCGGGCGAGACGACGTCGTTTCCGCCGCGAAGGACGATGACCGGATTGAAAGGTGAGCGGTCGCGGCGGCGGGAGTGGGAGAGGGTAGGGTTTCGGATTTCTTCGAGAAAACCAGAATTGCAATCGGGGCATAGAAGAGTGGGGTCTTGTTCGGAGACCATTGGAACCCTAACGATGCGGTTGCATCTGTAGCACCAAAACGAAGATCCAGGTGATTCCATTCGCTTTTCTTTTTCTTTTCTTTTCTTTGGAATCGGGTGAGAATTAGGATTATGAGAACTGAGATTGATTCAAGAAGAATTCGGAAACCCCTATCTGTTTTCTTTTTGGTTTGGCTGCGAAATCCAAGAGTGAAATTTACAGGGCCAATTCTCCACTCAGAAAATTCCTAAGGGAATTTAAAAACAAGAGCTCAGCAAAGTACTGGTTGACAGGGACGAATACTTTTTAGATACATATAATATGAATTTAATTAATACCAGTTTATTCACTTTACTTCTTTTTTTTAATATGAATTTAATTAAATTATAATTACTCTGCACATCTTTTTTATACTTGTATTTAATTATAAATTATTATATTAATAAGAGTAATTAATTTTTAAGTTTAAATAATTTTAATTTTTAAACTTAAATTTAAATATTTAAAAATAATATTCTTTATAAAAATATTCATTATATTCAATTATTAAAGTGTAACAAATATTTTTTAATAAAATTTTACTATTTTCTTTTATAATCTGTCATATATTTTCTTAACATTAAAATTTATTAAAATAATATATAAATTATATTATTATTTTTATAATAATTATAATTTTTACTTTTTATTTTAAATTTTAAAATTAAAATTTTATTTAATTTTTATTATATTATATAAATTTTTAAAATATTTCTACATTATATTTATAATAATTTGTTATTATCATATATAAATTTTAAAATTTTCATAAGTAAATATTTATGTTTATATTTATAAAATTTATAATACAATCTATTATTTATAATATTTTAAGTTAAAATTATTAGTAATAATATTTTTTATTTTAATGAAAAAAATATTTTCAATTAAAAATGATAAAAGTTACACTTTTATTTAATTTTTTAATATTTAAACTATTTTCAAATATTATATAGTATATATTTTTTATATATCACAATATTATATATATATATATATATATATATATATATATATATATATACGTGTACTTTTTTTATCATAAATTACAATTTTGTCAAGCTATATATCAAATTGATCTATTTTTATTAGTGTATTATATTTGATTAGTTTATAATCATATAAAATTTTTTATTTTTATATTTTTGATATATATAGTATATTTTAATATTTATATTTATAAAATGTTATTATTTAATTATTAAATTATATATTTATTTTAAAATAAAAATATATATTACACAATTTATTAAACTAATTAATTATTTGAACTCTACTTTAAAGATTTAATTTAACAGTATAATAACTAAATTTTATATTTTTCATATATGCTAATACTTAATAGGTAGATATTATAAATTTTTATATTATAATATATTAAAATTAAATTCTTTATTTTTTATTTATTTATTTATTATTATTATTATTACAAATATGTAAGCTGTTTCAAATTAAGTAAAATTAAATTATAACTGATATTATTTAATTTTTTAAATAGATAAATAAATAACAATTTTCTTAAATGACTGTCAAAAAATAAAAAAGTATATTAAGATGAATAAATAATTGATTTCGTACTTTGCAGTTAACCTTTTTGCAAGTAACAACACATTAATCAAATAAGACACTTTATTATTTGCACGAAATTGAATAATTAACTGCATTCAAGTTTAATGAGTAAGGTAATATGTGCATTTTCTGTGGTAATTATTTAATCCTGAGAAATTACAAAATCGGAATGCAAATGTTTCATAATTCTATTATGAGGAACGGAATATTCCTTTGGATGTAACCAGCTACATATTCAATGTACCTAAAAACCTCTTTTCTCTTGGGAATTGTAATAAAAAAAAGTTTACTGTAGAATTTTATTCTGTCCTGATTATGATATTCTTTAAATCAACTTGAGATAATTTATAATTTTAGGAATCTTGATGAAAATAAAAAATTACAATTTTTGTTTTATTGTTTTTAGAGCTATGATATTAACTCCTTTTTTTCGGTATATACAATTGTCAAGTAAATTTTTATTTTTGTATTGTCACTCAATTTTTAAGATAAGCATTGTTGATGTCACACGTAAAATGTCTAATGGGATAGACAATAGCTTCGCAGTTGAATAACATGTTTAAAATAAGTAATTATTTTTAAAAAATTTCAATTTAGCTATTGCAATTTTAAAACCCAACTTTGTTCCCTTTGCTTTTCTTTCTTGTGTCAGTCAATTAATTCTATCACCAAAGTACTTAGTTCTTCAGTTCTTTCCTTTTACATTTAGAATAAAAGTGACACGATGCTTTAAAAAAAAATCATCTTTTAACCATTTCATGACACTTTTCAAATTATTATAAATAATATAGCACATAACAAATGACATTTTCACAAGTCAACTATTTTAACTGTTTAAAAAATTATAACCAAGTTAGCTATTCTTGTCAACAAAAAATAATATAGCTATTCTTACCAACAAAAAATAATAAAAATTTTGTTTTGATCGTACTAACAAATTAAATTTGTCATTTCCATCCATATAAGTTTTATCAAATTACTTTTCTTGTTTATTTTTTTAAAATTAATATAAATTTTTATCTTTTAAATGTTTTAAAAGTATTTATTGTTATGTGTTGGTATTATAGAAGAACTATAATTTTTTTTTTATGAATTTTCTTCTACAAGTTTATGAGATTATTATCTAATACTACTTTTTTTCTCATAGACTTTGATGTCAATATTACAAACCAAAATTTATTTTAAATAAATTTTTTTTAAACTAGTAGAAAGTTTATTTAAAAATATTGTTATTTTTATATACATCTTCAATGATTAAACTAAATATCCTTATTTATACTAGAGGACAAAAACAACTATAAAAAAAGAAGTTGATTGAAATTCAACAAGTTTTTTTGGTATTTATTATATTTATTCTTTATTTTTCACCTCACATGACTCAAAATTAATATCCTATGCAACTAGCCTATATTTACAATAAACAAGGGTAGTATGTGAAATGTGGTATAAAAGCTAAAATATGTAGAAGATGAAAAATTTGTTGTAGTTTTATAGAAAATCTTAGGAATTTTAATAAATATCCATGTATTCTCTCAATATATAGAAGTAGGTGGATCAAATATCATTAGAAAGTGCTCTCTATAATTTGAATTTTAAGTGTTACTTGAAATTTTTCCACAACATCAAGTATCATATAAGTTGAATCTCATCAAGTAAAAACATTAGACATATTAACTTTTGAGATGAAATACTAAAAAATTCAATGCACTCCTTAGATTGCAAGTAATTGAGGTAAAGATCTTGTGTATCTTACCACATTCCAAATACTTGCAATAGAGTTATGCAAGTCTTTCAAACTATCATTAACAATTAAATTTAAAATATGGACACAATATCTTACATAAAATTGTCTATCTAAAGTTAACCCATTTTTAAATATTCAATCTCTTTTACAAATGTGTAACAGCCACATCTCTTAAAGAAATATTATCTACCATAATTATAGATATATTCTTAAAATATAATTCTCTTAATATATCTTCAACATAGTTAAATTTTAAACGAACATCCCTAAAAAATTTAAAAATTAATGAATTAAATTATTGCAATAGAATAACAAACAAGATAACAAAAAACATGTAATTAAGTGTTGAAGGTAATATTCAAATAAATATAAATAGTTTAACTTTTAATTTTTTTTCATTTAGAGAATTTTCAAGTAGTGTGATGTTACCCTCTTAAAAGGAGCATAATGCTTTCAAAGACATTACATAAGTAACTCCTAATGGTAATTTTTAACCAAAATTAAGTATAACTAAAAGACATCTTCAATTTTAAGTTGAAAAATTAACACTTAGGTATGAAACAAAAGATTCAATCTATTAAACATGTACAAACTAACATTAGCATTAAAAAAAATACATTAAGCATAAACTAAGTCAATTATTAACATAAAAAATAATTTCATTAATATGTTTCATTATTCATAAATAGATAGACACTATACAAGGACCTCTTACTATTCCAATTAACATGATGAATGCATAATTTTTTAATATTTAAAATAACAAAATCATTAATCGAAATACTTATATATAAATGAAGAGGATAACAACAACAAGGAAACAAAACTCAATTCAAATCACAAATCAAGAAACAAATGTGTTCAAAATATTTCAATGTTAAATCAATATCTAAATAAAAAAAATAAAAAAAATATAATAACTAATTGTAAAATTCGAGTGTTAAATTAACATTAAAATAATTAATAAAAAAATAAAATAGAAACTCAATCTTTATGATTTGTATTAATAATATTGTAACTCTTTCACTCATTTTATAGTGATTGATTCACCTTTAAAAGTTTACTTTTAAATATTTATAAAAATAAAAAAAGTTTAATTATTCAATTAAAGCAAAAAATAATAATAATAAAAATGAGAGAAAATCCTGAACATTTAATGCCTTCTCAATTTCATCAACGTTTAAAAGTCTATCCATAAAACAAAAAAAAATAGTTATATTGATTATAAACATTTTTTAAAAAAATAAAATAATAAATTTAAGCACAATGGCAAACTTGAGACAAAAAAAACTGTTGTGTCAATTTTTATTTTTATTTTGTAAAAACACATTAGTGAGAAAGAATAAACTAATTTTTTAAAATATAAAGACTAAAATAAAATTACAATTATAAAGACCAAAATTAAAATGATATATTTTGGAAGATTAAAAATAAATTTAAACTTATTTCATATATTAAGATTGCTGGACAAAATACTTTGTATTTTTAATTAATACCTATAAGACATTCTTAAGCAAAACTCTTAAATAAATGAAATCAATTAGAGTATAAAAAAGTAACTATGATGCGATTTTATTCCTAAACTCAAACATTAGAATTGGAATTTGAGAAAAAAATTTAAAGGAGATTTATAAATATATTTTAGGGTTTTGATAATAATTTGTTTAATTTTTATTTTAAATGTGTCTTAAAGTGAAAGAGTTTGTAGTATTAGTTTATCAGAAGATAAAAAAAGGTCAGGTGAAAATTGCTCTTTTTCCTACGTTCCTTAAAACAAATTTCTCATATAGGGAATAAGCTTAAATCTTCATGCTCTTAAAAAAAAAGGGTCAGTTTTTAATATAAAGATATGTTGTATATATTGTTACAAATTTATTTTTGTTGTATAATTATCCAATCAAATAAGCAAAGATTAGGTTATAT